CTAGGCTTGGGGTTTTAAGTCCGCAAGCCTGGCTGGCACGGCACGGCCTAGCCCATGGCCCGGCTTAGCACGGCCAATATATTATTTATATATAATATAATATATTATATAATAACATATAGTATATAATATATTAATAAAATAAACAATTATTTTCAATTTAATTATACTAATTTATTTAATTATTGCATATATAAGCAACTGTGTACATCAAAATTCATATAAAATTAAAATTTTAAGTTTTTTTCATTTTTTTAAATAAATAGATTTGGCCCAGTCCACAGCCTGGCCTAGCCCAAGGCCTGGCCCACAAACCGGACCGGCCCACGGCACGGCACGGATTTGTGCCATGGGCCATGCCGAGCCGACATCCCAAGTTATCCTAGGGGAGGGCGGGACAGCCCGCACTTTGCACAGGCCACCCGTGGGTTGTGCTGACCTGACTTAGCCGTTTTACACCTCTAATTGGTTATATGTTTCTTCCCCTTTTTCTTCCTAGTTTTGTTTATCTTTATCTTTTTACACGACATGACAAATCACCATAATCCATGGTTTTATTTCCTAAAACCCTTATTTTTTTTCTTTCCCCTCAAAGTTTTTCTTTCAAAATTTTCTTCCCTTCTATCGTTTTCTCTATCCCATCCAAATCAACTTTTCCTCCATAAAATTTATATTCCCCATCTCTAAACTCTCTTCAGAAATTAAAACCCCTGCACACTTATGGTTCTCCTACAAGTTTATATATTGAAGCAAAGTCCACAGTGAGGGGACTTCTACTTAAAATGGCTAGCCATCAACTAAGTGGTGTTTGGCCTACTCTAAAATCTTGTTCTTTGCTAATTAAGTTATTATCTCATATCCTTCCTTTAAGAAAAAAGAAAAATATCCTTCCTAGTGGCACGACAATGGTGCCACCCAAAAACAAAAGCTAAAGCAAAGTAATATAATTATCTAATATATGAATGTTGTAAAAATAGTAAAGAGTCAGAATGGAACTTACCAGTAATTGTTTTCCAAACCGAAGTTGCAGTGATGTGAAGTTGTAGAATCTCAAAACCAGGAATTGCAGGAAGAAGGAGGGCTGAGTCGTGCCACTTGGTCACTCTCCTTAAAACCGCATTTGCCCCTACGATGTAGCCAGGTGATCGAAAATCGGTTGCCAAAATAAAACAGCCCACAGGCTTCTAGTAGGTGTGCACTCGCTTATCAAACCTTCGCAAACCACAGAAAAGATGATGCTTAGATTTCTCAAACAGAACAGAGAATAAGAAAATCGAAACTGTTGTGTGTTGACTAGGTCGATCAGCACTCTTCTTATAGAGTGCTCTCAGACCCAAATGGACACAGATGTGTCCTTTCAAACAAGAGCCTTTTCAGAATATTGCACCTGTTCGAAGAGGCACAAGGAAGAAGAAGAGACACGAGAAAAGAAAACATTTTTATTTAAAAAATTAAATTTGAAATAAAGAGACACGAGAAAAGAAAACATTTTTATTTAAAAAATTAAATTTGAAATGAAGAGACACGATTTAAATTGAGAAGCTTTAATTCAGTTAAACAAAAAGATTCGGTGCTTTGCGCGCACGCACACGACCCGGCCCGACTCGGCTCGGCGCGCACGTGTGAAAAGCACCCCCAACCCCTCACATGCATGGAATATCTATAGTCCTCTCCTCCTATGGGTCCCTATCCATAGTCCCTACCCATAGAGAGAGCAAAGCTACAAATATACTCAATTTCCACTCCTTTCCCAAACAATGTGGGACAAAGAGTCTTCCCATGCACTCAAGAGTGGAAAGAGGAAAAGACAAAAACAAGAGGGAGGAGAGACATTCTTGAAAATTTGAATTTCCCTCCAACAATGAATGTAAAATGCAATAAAACCGTAATCAAAATTTAGCACAAATCTATAATATCTACTACAATATTTCAAATACAAGAGAAAGGATTTGCCAAGATGTACCGCCCATTCCTACTTGATCGGCTAGTCCTATAGCAATTAAGAAGCCATTACACCAACTATGGTAACTTCGCTTAGTTGATAGGAACTTTGACTTCTTGTACATGGCCGGATCAAATCCTGCTTCCATTAGGGCTGAGAGGGTTAAGGGGATGAGGGATGGGCTAACCCCCATATATTAATCAAGGATATCAACATATGCAAATGCCGTCCATGTCTCCATGATTCATTAGAGACCAGTACTGAAGCCAATTCATTAGAGACCAGTATCGAACTTGTGGGCCTAAAATACCAGGCCTGACCTTTTTTTCAAGCTGAACTCGGGTTTTCTTAAAAAATTCCAGTCCGAGCTCAAGCCTGACTTGATAATGTATATATTATATAATAAAAATATATTTTATTTAATAAAAAATGTATATACAATATTTGTTCTTTGTTTCTCTTTTCTTTTTTCAAGTAATAGTGAAATCTTTTATTATTTTTGAGTTTTGAGGGATTTTAATATAAATAAAACACCTTTATTGAATAAAAAAGAAAAAAAAATTGTTTTCAAATTTCTAGTCGGGCTTGGACTTAGGCTCGGGCTCGGGCTCAAGCCCTAGGCCCGATGGTCGGGCTAGGGCTTCAATCTTTATATGAGGGCCAGGCTCGGGCTCAAGACCTAGGCTCGATGGTTGGGCTAGGCTTGGGCTTGGGACTAAATGTATTCTATTGATACATAGGCAAAGCCCGACCTGACCAATGAACAATCTACGTTAAGTATCAATTAATGGCCTCCACAATAGCTTAACTCACTTGATTATTTTTCTTCAAGAAATTGCTATCTCTCTACCATCTTTGCCTCAGATGTTTTGTGACAATATGAACGAGTGCTTTGCAAAATTTCATTAATCCTATCTAGCTTAATTTCCATTCTTGTGCCAAGCACATTTGTTTGGGTTGAATGAATTGACATTCGACTGTCTAGATTAATTAGCAGGTCATGACCAAGTCAATGGTTGTTTTGACCAAAGAATGGATTAAGGGTGAAACAGAACCAGTTGCCTAAATGATTCCCATGCCAAATGATCCAACCATTTGGGTTAACCATTATTCGAAAACACTGTCTCAACCATCTAATGTTTTTATTAAACCCCTCCGAAGGGATGTCTTCAACAATATTCAGTTCAACTTGGGAGTTCAAGCGCCCCTCTCCAACTTATGGGGGAGTGTTAACCAAAGTGTTTCAGCTCAATCCCATCATGAATTAGCCCAAGATCAAGGCCAAGGCCAAGGCCAAGTAAATTAAGGGCGATGAAAACTGCTTAATTAATGGAGTCCACTTAGAGTATCCTTATATCTCTACATCTCTTCTTCGTATGAGCTACGGATTGGGCTCCCGAGCTCTCAAGAACCTCTATTCATCTTCTTAAATTTCCCTATCTTTGCTGGTGATCTGGAGGTTGCTCTTGAGCGTGCCTTAAGTGTTGAGTTTGAAGCCCCTCTGATAAATTCAGTGCTAGCTAGCTGCAAGAAGAAGAACAAGAGATCAATTATCACTCAATGGTCATAAGGGTATATCATTCACCACATTAGTTTCATGGTTGAATCCACAAGAAAATAAATAAGGCTCAGTTTGGGGGGAGTAGTACAAATACAAATATTATGTACAGTGCTTCCCAAATTAAGCCTAAAAGGATTGATGCTATTTTATGATATTTTCACTTTTGATCAACAGTACAATGTGGTTCAAAATGCATTAATTACACTGTGAAACAAACATTTGAATGGTATAAATGTATTTTAAAACCAATTGATCGACAAGAAATCCACGCTATCAAACACTGCCTAAGACACATGACAACCACCATTCTATCAAGAATTGATTTGGTCTTTACAGATTTAATTCATGGAAAGATATTTCCAATACACAGTTTCAATAGACTGTGAGTACGGTTATGTGAGGACCAAGTCTTAACTCCATTTTAAAGAGAGAGATTAGGAGAAAATAATTGTAGGTGTATATGTGTATATATTACATGCAAAAATTATTATATATTATTTTATTGATAAAATACATATTTATGTATATCTATATATTACATATGTGATATAGTACCGTTTGACCCATTCAACCCAATAACCCACGACATGGAGGCAAAATCAATTCGACCTCAGGCTTGATTTTTAAAACATTGGTTTGCCGTAGATACTGCTGGGTGTTTTGGGATGGCCTCAATCGCCATCACTCTCCACTATCCTCCAAGCAGATAAATTTGAACCAACTCTGCTTTGTCTCATTTATAAACAATGATAGGCACGGCACGTACATCATACTTAAATTTTAGTGCCCATCGACCCATCCCAGAAAGAATTAATCTTTACATTGAATGCTGCACACTAATGGAGAGACAATCCAACAGGGAGACACGCCTTTGTCAGCTTTAAACGAAGTCTAGCCGTGTTTGGTTTGAAGGAAATAATAGGGAAAAGAAAGGAAAGGCAGGAAAATCTTTACAAATCTTTTATAGATTTTCATATTTTTTCCTTCTTTTCCCTATTTTTTCCTTCAAACCAAACATAGCCTAAAAGACCCAAAAAATTGACTTTCTCCTTGGGATCCACACAGCAAACAAGACTGCTGTAAATGGGAAGGAGTTCGCTGTGACAACACAACTGGGCACGTAAGTCAGCTCAAACTTGGAAGCCCCAACCCATATGAGATAAATCCTCATTTGCTAGAGCTGAAACGTTTGAAAGTATTTGGATTGGACCTAAGCTTTAATGACTTAGGAGGCAGTCAGATCCCAGAATTCCTTGGTTAACTCCATTACTTGGAATACCTCAACCTGTCTTATTCGGGCTTTGCTGGCATGGTTCCGCTTCAGCTTGGGAATCTGTCTAGCTTGCGTTATCTCGATCTTAATTAGAAGTTGTAATGCATTAGAAGTCAAGAATCTTCAATGGGTTTCTGGTCTTTTAGTTCTTCGCTACCTAGACTGAGTGCAGTGAACCTCAGTACGTAAGGTATACGATTGGTTTCAACTTTCAAGCAATAAATATGCTTCATCATTTATCTGATATTCACTTGTCCTCCTGTGAACTTGCTGAACTTCCCCCTCTTGATGGTCTCCCTTCTGCAAATTTTACTTCTCTTTCTGTCCTTGATCTTTCTTGGAACGACTATTTTAATTCTACTTTACCAGATTGGCTCTATAGTCTTCACAGTCTCACGTACCTTGATCTTAGCTTTAATAGCTTTCGCGGCACAGTTTCATATTCCATTGCTAACCTCACTTCACTGCATGAGTTGTACCTGCATTACAATGGCCTTGAAAAAGAAATTCCAAAATCTGTGGGAGTGGGACATCTCTGCAACTTGGAAATTTTATTCTTGCCAAACAACAGATATTCAGTGGCGAAGTATCCAGATTTCTGGGAACTCATCTCAATGCATCAAGGACAGTCTGGTGTCACTACGTCTGGAATGGAATCAATTGAATGGCACGATTCCAGAAAGCATTGGACGTGTCTTTGGAAACTAGAACTTCTGGGCATCTCGGATAATTCCTTCCATGGTGTTCTCTCAGAGCTGCACTATGCCAACCTTACGAGGCTGAAAGTATTGAAAGCACCTTCGAACTCATTGGTTTTGAATGTGAGCACCAGCTGGGTACCGCCTTTTCATTTTTTTCAACTCGACTACATAGGAATGGGACTTAAATTCCCTTCGTGGCTTCGTGGCTTCAAACACAGAAGAATTTTATTAGTCTGAACTTGTCCAACACAGGAATTTCAGATACCATTCCTGACTGGCTATGGAAATTATCCTCCCAACTGTTTCTTTTAGGTCTCTCCCATAACCAAATCCAGGGTCAGTTTCCAAAACCATTGAAACTTGGTGCCGATGCTGTAATAATCAATCTGGGTTACAATCGTTTCAGCGGCCCAATACCCCGTTTTTTCTTGGAACATAGTTGAATACACCTCTCCAACAACTTATTTTCAGGATCCATTTCCCATGTCCTCTGACAAATGTATACTGAACCTAATATCCTGTAGTTTCTTGACCTCTCAAACAATCTTCTATCAGGGAACATTCCTGATTGTTGGATGAATTGGCCATCACCGAGAGTTATAAAGTTAGTGAGCAATAAACTGACTGGGAACCTCCCAATCTCCCTTGGTTCTCTAATTGGGCTCCAACCTCTGCACTTACGCAATAATAGTCTTACTGGAGAGTTACCCTCCTCTTTGAGAATTTATACTGAGTTGACAACCATTGACATCAGTGGGAATGAATTATCTGGAAGAATACCCATTTGGGTGGGACTAAACCTAGAACGTCTAATTGTTCTAGGTCTACGTTCCAATAAGTTCAGTGGAAGTATCCTCCAGAACTTTGTCATCTCATTGATCTTCAAATACTGGACCTTGCAGATAACAATTGATCAGGAACCATACCAGGGTGTTTCAGCAACTTTAGTGCTATGGCATCAAATCAGAAGTCAATTTACTATATTGGTTATGTCACTAGTTAAAATGTAATTAGAATCTTGATTCTTGATTCTAGAGTACAAACGCATGAAGCAAATCTATGTTTGTAAACAATAGTGTTGTATTTATCCTTCGATGTATGTCCTTTGTACGGATAAGGTATGTTTGGGAAATAAATGTTTGTTTTTAAATGCTAATTAGTGTTTTTGGAAGTCTTTTCTAAAACCACTTACACTTACTTTAAATACTTTGGATCCATTTGATTCAACATCAGGATCAGAATCACAATTGGAATAAGAATCACCTATTCCCAATGTTTGTTTGGTTCAGACAAGAATCGGAATCAGATTCTGATTATTGCTATTTGGTTCAATTGGAAGTCGGAATTGGAATCGGCCAAAATGTCTAGTTTTGTCCCTATTCAATATTCATAATGGCAATGGCAAAGATTTGGAAGGAGGGTGGATTCCAAGCTATGTTCGACGACTGGTAGAGGTTGTGAAGGAGAGAAAGAGATGAAAAGAAAGAAGGAAAGGGGAGGAAGAACAGGATCTATGGTATTAGCAATTGTGGCGACAACAGAGGGGAGGAAGAGGGAGAGAAAGAAGAGGGGGTGGAAGAAGAGACCCTAATAACCTGACCTTGATTTGTTCTACTGTAGGACAAGTTGAAAAAACGCAGTTGTGTAGCTGATGCCTTACTCATTTGAGAAGATGATTTTGGGTCTTTCCTAGGCTTAATTTTATAGGGTAAGTTGCCAGAGATCTTACCAACCAGCCAATTTGCACCTTTGTGATTTTAATGTACTTTGGTGTTTGAATGGAGCTTGGCTATACCCACAAACTGTTCTCCCACATCTCAGTGGAATTGGCAAAATCTGTGATGCGTTCGGAATTTGCTGCAACATAACTCCAAAGTGTCAACCAACTCTGTAAATCAATACAAAACAAGTCTGGTTTTTTTGGTTTCACATACATATGAACTCACACACACTCCTAACAAAAAGCACTCACAGACAAAGAAATTTCTAGTTCTGAGGATGCGCACGGGAATGAGAACCATAATGCTGTAAGACTTCCGTCAGATTCTTGAGCGCTCTGTCGTACGATACAAAACCCATGAACCAAAACTCATGGCCATCTAAAGTCAGAATTTCAATGTACTTCTCAGACGGGTTCAATCTGTTTGAAGAAGGATTCACTGCTGCCAACTGATCAAGCTGCACTACAACCTGCATTATCACGAATGTCAAGATAAGTGTAAATTTTAGAATCCAAAACTAATAAGAACTTAAACTATTAAAGCAAGTAAATTTATCTGTTCAAAATAATAGGCTGCCTCTGCATTGGCAGCATATGAAAGTCCCTATCACCAAACATTTTAAATTAAAGCTGAGGTAGTGAGGTACTACTACACCTCATAATCTTCTCAGCGACCAAAACTCAGTCATTACACAGTCAACCAAACCATGTGCTTAAATTCTCCCCTCCATTATCATGCAGATCACTGTACCAGTACAAACAAAATAAAGTCCTTGCTTTATTTATTGTCCACTTTCATCCAAACCAAACGCCAAATCCTAAAATCTGTTAATCAGGAGGATAGTGATTCTAATTTCCTGTCTTTTGGGAGCTTAAGAGCCAAAACACACTGCAAGTCTAGAGAATCAAAACTTGAAAATGTCTTGAAGCTAACACGATCCAACCCATGTTGAAGAATTTGGTTCATTAACTCCCACACCAAGGTCCACTCATCACATAATTCCCTAGAATGTTGTGGGCATAACTATATAACAATTGCCTCATCAAGAAAAACAAAATCTATTCATTAATTGGTTTTTATTGTCCCTACCTGTCCTAATAAAATTTTGTCCGAGCCAAAAACCTTCTTTAAGTTTGTACAAGCCTCCAAAAACCATTCTAATGAAATTGCTATCGTCAGCACAAGTTCAAATCTAGTTCTATTGATATGGGGTTGGTTACATTAATCCTGTTTCACCATTTCATTCTGTTCGGTGCCATATCCAACATCAAATTATGGGCACTTAAATCACTTCTTACTATTTCCACCCTTAAGGTTGTAACTTTTCTTAGGTCTCTTTCTTCCCAAATTGTCCAAGCCAATGCGGCTCTAGTGCATCTCCCCATAATCCCGCCTCTTCTTTTAGAGCACCTGAAAATGTGAGCGCTAAAAAAGTCTTCCAGATTATCAGGGGGAATCCATCTGCAACCAAACAAAAGGAAAACCAATCCCAAATGGAGTTCCCAAATTCACCATGTTCTTTCTTTCTTCTTTGTTAGTTACTGATATCTGCACCAAGTTCATTGTTCAACACAAATACATGATGCCAAAGATGGATTTTGTTGATGAACGTGTCATTGATGAAAAACAGGCATTGCATCAACAGTATCCAACACAATATGGCACCTTTGTACAGGTACCCAGGTATCATAGGTACCAAGTTTAGTAGTACCACTGATGGTGGTGGTGGCGGTGATAGTAATGTTGATCAAGCTGCGTCCTCACACTATAGCCATGGGAGAATTTGCAGTTTAAAACACTAATCGAATAACCCAAAATAAGCCATTTTATGCGCAGCTTTTGAATTGAAAAATGGAACTTTTTTAGAAAAATATTACATGGGGAAAACACCAATAAAATATAGACCATAGAGTGGACATAATATAGGAGATTAAACACAAGATATTCCAAGAGCTCCAATCAAACAGACGATTCATATTGGCCACATCTTCTTTCCACGTGGCAGAAATAGAATAGGTTTTAACTTTTAAGGTTAAGATATATGGTTGATTATGAATTTTCTCTTAATAATTCTTGGGGACCATCCCCCAGGGGAATGATTTGTAATACAAACAGTGGTACAACAAAATTGGTAGCAGATGGTAGCCTACAATTATCATTCTACATTTATAATTAACAAAATCTCTGTTTGTTACTGATCCAAAAAAAAACTCTCCTAATGAAAAAAAAGAATAGAAACACTCTAAAATAAAGAGATCACAATTTCATAGTTTACAAAAATAAAAGAAAGAGAAAGAGATAATAATTTCATAACAAAAAAGAATACCTTGTAATATATCCACTCCTGCTGTCCTGGAGCAGGATAACGGAAAAGAGGATTATCACTGCAAAAGGCCACCCTTTTTGTGGATATATAAAGTGTTCCAATCACAGGCCCCGAGGAAGTTGATAGATAACAAGCATATGCTTTAACGAGCTTTTCATCTGGCCATATTCCAAAAGTCTGTTGAAAAACCTTTTCATGTCCCCCTTCTGTAAGAACCTTTGTTCCTTGAGAAAGTCGTGCCATCGCTGCATCAGTGAGACTAGGGCTGGTTTTAACTGTCAAACAAGGCATCATCATCAATTAGAATTTCCTTGAGGTAGGTTAAACCATATCAGTAGGTGAAAATAAGTTACAGAACCAGAGGACGGATATGAGATACTAGTAGTTCTTTATGGAATCAGGATGTCTGAGTGGATTGGATACCTGGATCAGCTAATTGTATAGCTGATTCACTTCCAAAACAAGGAGAAAGTAGGTGTCAATTGGACTGGATTTGGTCCAATTGATCCAGTCCAATGTGAGCCCATTACAAATGGACAAGGTCCAATCCAATCCGATGAACATTTTGGACCGGTCCAATTCAATGTCTGGACCATCTAATTGTTCAAATTTGTTTTAATTTAGATCTATTGACACCTATGTTCTTATCTTCTATCAATGGACCAGATATTGGCTCAACCCAACCCAATCCGATATAAATTCATTCGGGATGGACCAGGTCCAATCCAATCCAGTATATACTATGGAGTTAGGACCATTAAGTCTGGACTGGTCCAATTCAATATGCCTTTGTTGGTCCGTCCAATCCGTCCAAATTTGATTTTGGTTTGGACGGGGTTAGGGGTCACAAATGAAAGCTATTTGTAATAGGCGTAATTTGAATAGTGGGTGCGCTGGTGAATACCAATCAAAAAAGAAAAATTGTATTGCTTTGCAAATTAAATTATTCAGCATGATTATCAAACAACATCAAAAGAGCCAAACAAATAGAGATATGAGGCTGCAAAAGAGAGTAAGACAACTGAAGGAATGAACATGGTAATATATAAGGAGATGTGAAGTTGATGAGAAACTTACGATGGTGCCAAACATTTTCAGCATAACCTTCTGCTTTTCTGGTGCAATCTTCAAACTTTTTACCCCACCGATTCAACACGTTGAGGATCATCTCCATAGGGCCTGAAACAAATACGTGAATAACAAAGACAAAAAGTACCAAGAAGAGTTATAAAACCATTGATTCATTAAGACAGAAAACAATTCCGACCAATTGACAACTTACTCTTTCCAGAGGATTCAGGAACAGGGGCTGTCTGGACATATGGATTGTTGACCTGAGGGTAGCCACTGCTATTGACTGTGCTAGTTGTGGCAGGAGGGACAGAATATTTCATGTAATTAGCGTTTAGAGTAGCAGGATCAGAAGAAGGAGTTGCTTCACCAGCAACCCAAGTGGCAGCCTGTTGGTTGACAGGATGGGCTTGGGGTGGAACGGGGTTGCCCATGACCCAAGTACCCCACCTTCCATCGCCTTCATGATTCGAGTTTGATGTGCCTCCTTTCCCCTTCGTGTTCTGGTTAGTCTCGTTGTGATAGTGAGGGTCCATGGAATCGATTCTCTTGCAATCTGCTATAAGGGTTCAGTTGTTTGTTCGAATTTTTTATCTGTGGGAGGAAAAATTCTAAAACTTTACCAACTTATCAAGATCGCGTCTTAATAGAATATCTTCTAGAATAAAAATCATAAGATTTTTTTCCTTTTTCCTTTTTCTATCAGTGATCACAAAAGGTTTTTCTTTTATTCTGCAAGCTAAGCATAAAATTTTGCTTAAACCAGCAATGTCCTTTCAGAAACATGAACTTTTAAATGCATCAAACAAACCCAATAGTGATCTAAGTTCATCTAGGAAAAATCTCCAAACACCCAAATGATCTCTCGTAGGATCTGTCCAGCAAAAAACGGTGAGAATGAAATTCTAAGAAGGAAAACAAGCAGAACCCATCACAGATATCACCTAGTAGAATAATACCCTTGAACCGGATGAGAAATAAAGATAATCAAACCCTAGATTTCAATGTCGAACACAGCATGAGACCAATCAGTAATCAGCACAGAGATAGAGAAAAACTCAAACAAGTGCACAAGTTTATGAGAGTGGATTTAAACTCAAATTAAAGAAAAAACACGAGAGAACCCAATTGAATTAAACTCAAATTAGAGAGAGATGAAGATATTTACATCTTGGTGAAGCTGCAAAGAGAGAACCGTCGTTCGAAAGGAGAACTTTTGGTCGGTGTAGCAACTGTAAGCACTCCACGGAGGGCCGGTTGGCAGTTATATCTTCATCTTCCCAGAAGGCGTGTGGCGTGTCTCCTGGCCAGGCCAAACGAGTGAGGCAAGCCTAAATACAACGTTACGAAAACCCCGAGAAAATAAAATTATTCTGACGCGTAAAAGAAAGACGTTGACACGTTGTGACGCGCCGACGTGTCGGGTTGATAATTCTAGATTTCGAGGGCGGCAAATGAGTTTGCACTGACTTAAGCCGATTATTCTCTCATGAAATAAAGTGAAGAAGTGCAGAGATGTTGCAATTTGAACAGTATTTGAACGGAATTTGCACTGATTTAAGCCGATCTCGGCCTCACTATCTGAATTCGAATTCGATTCGGCTCAACTTAAAACAATGTTTTAAAATCGACCCAGAACCCGAACTGCTTTGGCCACTGGTTACTGGGCTCAGCAATTCAATTATCCGGCTCAAATGGATGATCCGTTCTAATTTAAAATAAAGAAATTGGCACAAACAAACCATTACCTAGGTCGAACAGGTCAACAGGTTCATCGCCTGGATCAATGAATTGCTAACTAAATCAACATAATCAATTGCGTAGACAATTTCTTGGCCGAATGATTCGACTCTAGGTAAATAATTGTTTGAGAATCATGATTTATCTGGGCCACGTTTAATGTCCATTTGGTTTATGGAAATATGGGTCTAGAATCGGAATTGGAATTCAATTATTTGATTGGCAATCAAAATCTTATTCTCTGATGGAATATCATTCCCCCACTTGAGAGAATGGCCATTCCCTCCCCCTCCCTTAAGAATAAGAATATATTCCATTTGATTTTGATTCCAATTCATTTGGACCAAATGTGAATATCATTCCGATTCCAAATGTAAATCAAATGGACCCTTGGGAATTGGATAGCAATAGATAATTCAATGTAAATTATTATTATCATCTTAATAATTCTAATTCCATTTCCGAATTCATAACAAGCAAGAGATTGAGAAAGATATCATTAGGGGTGCTTATGGGTTGGATTGGGTCGGGCTGAGTCATTTTCTTCAACGGACCTGACTTAGTCGATATATTTATTGACTAAATCAAAATCAATTGACCTTGAAGCAAAACCAACCCAAACATAAAGGGTCAGTTTGGGTTGGTTTATCGGTTTAGTCGATTTATTTAACCTCTCGTTTTTTTTTTCAAAACTAAAGAGTGAAGACTCAATAGTTGTCTCTCCATTCCAATTTTCAAGAGTCCTTGACATCAATGCTTACTAAACCCAAAAAAGTAATAAATAAACTAATAAAGATAATAAATAATTTTATTTAACATATCTTTTTTCTCTTTCCAAAATTGAAGAGTGAAAACTCCAACAATCCAATATGTATGTCCGTTTCAATTTCCAAGACTCCTTCACATCAATGTTTACTAAACCCAAAAAGGTAATAAATAACTTTACTTAAATTTAAAGTTAACTATGATAGGGAGTATGGCTGAGTAGGGACTACTTAGTAATTACTTAAAACATATAGGGTCAGTTTGGTTTCGATTTTCATGTATAAAAACCAAAAACCAAATTGAGTTGTTGGTTTATTTTCTCAAACAAATTGGAACCGACCGGTGGTTTTGAAAAAACTGATCAACTCAAGTTGGGTCGAGCCAATTGACCGATTTGACATTTAATGTGAACACCTTTAGATTGCACCCCAATAGAATGAATCAAATCAAGGGAAAATGAATGGATACATATGCGGAGTCTCATATGATAGGTGAATAAACTAAAGTTTAAGGGAAAATTCTATAAAAAGTTGTAAGATCAATGATGTTATGTGAAACAAAGTATTGAGCATGAAAAAGAATATACCAAAAAATCGTATGGTAGAAATGTGTATACTAAAATAGATGAATGAAAAGAAAACAAAAAGGAAAATATTGAAAATGAAGTCATTCAAAAGAACTTGATAGCAGTTACAATAGGTGATAAAATAAGAGAAAATAAATTAAGATGGTTTAATACATGTAAGAAAAAGTAATCAATTGCAAATTTAAGGAACTAGAAAAGCTAAGGGTAGACACAAAAGACATGGATTGAAGTAATAAGAAGTGATTTAATAATTTATATTTTAAGAGTCGATATGACACTAATTAAACAGAACAAGAATGGTGAAAGTAGGATTCATGTGGCTTACCCCACATAATTGGAATAAGCCCTACATGATGATGATGCCATATACTTGAAATTTATATTGTCTTAGTAAATTTGGTTTCATATATTATAGGGATGCAAACGGATCGGATCATATTCAAATTAGGGTATATAGGACTGTTCCGGTCAATTTCATGAATATTGATCTAGATTTGAATCCGATAAGGATGTCAGATATCTAAATATGATATGATCTGATTTAATTTAAAAAAATAATAAATTATTAAAAGAAAAATAAAATATATTAATTTAATAAAGAAAAACAAAAAATAAAAATATTTTCAACTATTTTCATCACATATATACATATTTTTTATAAAATTTTACAAAAATATAATGTAAATAACATTAAATAATACATATACACACATTTCGGATAGGGGTGATCCAAATCCAATCCAATTTTTAATTGGATGTAATTATTTAATCTGAAAACCTAAAATTTATATATCCGAATCCATAAGATCAATCTTCCGATCAGATACCCCTAATACATAAGAAATTTCAAGTCAATTGTTCATGAGTTACAATAATAAACGTCACTTTTTAGTTCATTCTATTATATATAATATCTTTAATTTATTTATATTTTTCAATAATCAATTGTATGAATGAATCAAATTTGAATATATTAATGTCCAACTCAAGTCAATCCATTTGCAATGCTAGTTGATAGGGAACAAGAGCCCGAAGAATCTGGTTGGATAGTTCTGACCCGCACATCAATCCAAAAAAAAATAAAACTTCTGAAAAGAGGAAACTAATTACTGGGCATATAATAAAGACCGAAACAGCTGAACTGAATAGGGTCTGAAATTGGAATCAGAATGAGCTATTCTGGTTTAAACTGTTTAATTGAGTGGAATTGGAGTCTCATTCCTATTCCTATTGGAATAGCATTCTCCTATTTGAGAGAATGACAATTTTCTGTCCCTCCCTTGGAAATGAAATTTCATTCCAACCAAATCTAATTTTCATTTCCATTCTGAACCAAACAGATTATAGAAACATACCATTTCAATTCCAATTTCGTACGGACCTTTGGGATCTTCTCTTAATATAATTGATTAACTTATTTACTAAAAATAAAACAATAGATCACAGTTCAGCCAATTCAGCTTATCAACGACCCGGATAAGTTAAAAGAGAGAGAGAAAAAAGAGATGACGTACAATCCTCAGCTATTGAGGATAAACTTCAATAAAAAGGTATTTGTCTCTACCTAATCCCAGTATGAAACATCAATATATTGGACGACATTTCACGTATAGAAAACACTATGAGACCATCAAGGGAAGAAATAAGTATGATGATTGTACTGCCTATGTTCATCTGATAATGACCGTCTGATCATACTGATCATTCAGCTTAAGCAATATTTTCATCATTAATCTTCGTGGGGAAAGAAACTAGGGATGGCACTTGATTGGGCTGGGCCAAAGTATAGCCTGGCCTTTAACTGTTACAGGAGGTCTGGACCCCTGCTAAAGCTACAAGACGTCAAGACCCATGAACCCATTAAGCAAAGTGACTAACTGCCTATCAATATATAACATTTGTATTTGTATATGATATCAAAATTAATTAAAATGTATATTAATGTTACACATGTAGGACCAGTCCCACTTATTGGGTCCAGCCCGGCCCAATTTCCTCCTCCAAGTTGGAGAGAGAGAGATAGGTTAGGTACTTGTGATTATTATAGGAAAAGGGGTGGTGTTAGCCTGTTAGGCTGTTAGCTAGCTACTTTCTTCTGTATCCTAAGATAAGATCTGGGCTAGATAATTGCTAATTAAGAAAGGAAGTTTGAGAGGCTTTAATGACTTAAAAGCTGAAGAAGTCTAGGACTAATCTTTGCATAGATTTTGTACTTCAATTCACAAAGGTTGTGTTTGGTACTGTAGGTGTTTCAATTTGCAATATTTTAAGTCGAAACCATAGTTTTAAAATCGGATTGGATTGAACTATCAGATCGGAAAAACTTGGAACCAGTCATCTGATTGGTTCCGTTTTACCCCTAGAACTGTCTTTTGGCCAAAAACTGTTGATTTGGTCAGTAAATCGCTGACTCGGGCGTTCAAACCGTTCAAACCATCTAATGGTTTTTGTCCATTTTATTTTCTGAACTATTCATTGTCCGATTCAGTTTTAAAAATCTTAATTGACCATTTATATTTGAAATACAAACACCACAGTTTGTATTTGAATCCAATTTGTTGAAAGTATGTATTTTTCATCCATGTCAACACCACATCAGTGCCACATCAGTCAGGGTTTTGAGACTTTGTTTCTCAAAACAGTGTTTAACAAAATTGGAAATTAGCTGCTAAATTCAAAACGTCGATGTGGCACTGAGGTGATGGTACCAAATTAAACAGCCCCAAAATTGTCTTTCAACTTTGAAATGGGACGTCTAATCTTGGCATTACAAATTTCAATGAATATATAAAATATAAAAGGATCGTTTACTAAAACACATTATATAGTTTCATGAATTTACTAAAACGTTTGTGTTTTATTAAAACATCCCCTATAATTACTTAATCGATTTTTCATTAGATGAAAGTGGAAAATGACATTAATTAATCAAAAGAAAATAAAAAGCAAAAGTGCCAATTTTGCCCCTAACAAAACATGGGCAATCATTCTATTTTCTCTATTTGGTCAATTTTATTTTCTATACAAAAAAGTTCTTGAGGTACTTTTGAATAAACAACCATGGATCCATACCCTTGAATATTTTTCACTCAATTGAGGGTACTTTTGGAATAAATAATCATGGGTCCATACCCTTGAACATTTTCCATTTAAATTAGGTAATCATGTTACTATTTTCAGATGTCAAAACAAATGGTTCTTAATGAAAGGTTAATTAAGTAAATAGGTTACAAATTATAAAAGGTGTTTAAGTAAAATACAAACTATAGGATAGGTTTAAGCAAATCTATAAATTTATAGGGGTATTCTAGTAAATGACCCAATATAAATTGAGCATTGCTTAGTTTTCTTGTCCACATGGTGGCACATGAACTTTGATTCCTTCGTGTTGGAGTGCAAGGGTTTCTTTCCAAGGAAGTAATGTTTTTGCTTTCAAACAGAAATTTTCACATAAAATATATGTACATAGAGAACACTAGAGTCAATACACATCCATTGTTTTATTGAGCTTTTCCATTATTTACTTGGTATTGTTATTCGCTGTTCTTGGATTCTTCTTCTTCCTCTTTCTAGAATCATCTAGCAACAGAACTCTGCAAATGCCACATGGTAGTTAGTATGGAATATCAAAATAGTTTGAAATTTTCCAATAGAACTGTCAATCTTTCTGAGTCGTTTTTGATAGGTTGCTTTGTTTATAAAAGCTAAGGTGACATTCACCCATTCAAGCTTTTTGGGATTGTCAAGAAGTGGTAATAAGATTCCCCCAACTAATGAGAATCAATGAAACACACAAATTAGCTTTTTTAAGCTATGCAGAAATATTAATGAGAATCAATGAAACACACAAATTAGCTTTTTTAAGCTTTTTTTTTCAAGGATGGAAGCTCATTTTAGCTGAGAATCTCTTTAAATTAAGTTGCTTTTTTGCTATTGCTCTCTTTACTTTATCCACAATTAGGGGTGAGCATTCAGTTTATTTGATTAAAAGCTGAACAGAATAAATTAAAATTAAAAAATAAAAATGAACCAAAACCAAAATTTAGAAAAACCGAAATAATCAAAACCAAATTTTCAATTCGGTTTTCAGTTATTTTGGTTAAAACCGAATTTTAATAATATATACTCTATTATATATATATATATATATATATTATATTATATGTTATATGTTACATATTATATATTATATATTACATATAATAATAAAAAGTTTGGTTAATTCAGTTAACCAGAATTCTAATTCTAAAAACCAAAACCAAAAAATCAAATTAACCGAACCAATTCAACCAAGAACCGAAAAACGGAAACCAAAACTTTTGGTTCGGTTTTTCGATTTTAACCAAATAGTGCTCACCCCTATCCACGATGTAGCTCAATTTACTTTATTGATTTTTTTAGCTCAAACTCGTGCCTTTATAATATGAATCAAGCTTAAAGATCTTGCGATTGTTATAAATCCATTGGGATTAAACCATTCTTAGAAATGTTTAAAGCTTGTTCTCAACAAGATTGAAAATTTACCAAATAAGGAAAGATCCGTTGAGCCTTCAAACAATCAAAATTTTTTTATTCTTTGTGAAGTAACTGACAGCTTCAACTTTATCGGATGTAGGTAGTCGACTACTATTCACAAGAGAAAGTCTTTTCTCTCCGGTAGTCAACTACTAAGAGGTGGTAGTCAACTACTAAGTGTATCATATTTTTGGTTATTGAACATAGTTGAGTACCTAAAAGTGTAAAGTGTGTCATATCATGCTGGCACGACATGATTTTATGGGTCGCCCGTGCATTAGCAGGTTGTGCTGTGTGGCATGAAGGCCTAAGTGGGTTGTGATTGCTTGGCCTGGAACCCTTCATAGGTCAAGCCTAGCACTTTCTGTGGCACAAGCCCAGGCGGGCTCATGTTGAGCCAAGTTGTGAGAGGCATGGCCTTTTTAAAATTAAAAAAATAAAATAAATTAACAAAACAGGCAAGACATTGAAAAAAAATATAATAAAATTGGAATACAATAATATAATAAAATTGAAAATAAAAATTTATAGTAATTATGGGTCGACATGTTGTGTCATGTTGGGCCATGGGTTCGTGTCGTGTTATATTGGCCTGTGAGCCTCAAAACCCAAGCCCAACACGGACCAAGGCTATGGGTTGGGGTACTGCAAGATCCAGTTGCTAAAATGACTGGGTTGTGTCTGGCACAACCCATATCATGCCTAACTATGCCAACCCACGGGCAACATGACCCACTTTATATCTCTGTGAGTACCCTTTTTTTCAACAGTTGACTACTGACCAAAGTCAGTAACATCAAGCTTGGCTATCACAAGTGGTCAACTACTCATGACACTAGTCTCGGAAGTCAGCCAACTATTACCTTATGAATGATCGACTAATGATTATGTCCTTTCTTAGAAACTTCAAGTAGGTGATTCCAAAGATTTGGGAGTTACTTCGGCCTTCACACTTAAAAATTTTCTTATTTATGCTCAATATAAAGTATAGGGAAAACATATCCATCCATTTAACCGTTGGTCTCTAAGGTTTTGATTAAATCGAGGTAGGTTAATTAAGAAAATTATGTGCATTCTTTCAAATGATTACATCAAGTCCTAAAAGGCTATGTTTGATTTGAAGGGAAAGATAAGGAAACCTAATACACCAAAAAAAAAATGAATACAAATTGAAAGCTCTAGAACTTGATGTCTTCTTCTTTTTCTTGGTAGGGCACTTCATTCTTGGAAAGTGTTTTATTCCCTCTTTTTTTTTTTTGATTATTCTTAAGGTAGATTTGTAACTTCAATCTGGTTGAATGGAATTAGCTTAAAGGCTGTTAAAAGAAGAAGAGTTTTCTTTTCTCAATCTCTCTCTTACTAAAAAAAACACCCAACATTTGGATTAGATAAAAATGCCTCTTTTAATAATGACTTTTTATGACTAAAACGATCATTTTCTTATTTACCTGAAAAATAAAAAAACATAGATAAATACACTTACCTAAATAAATAACTTACAGAAAAAAAGTGAGCAATGCCTAAAATTTTGATTGGTAACATGTACTCATCATCTCACAATGGCTTTAACTCAAATCTTGTAAATATTATTTAGGGCCGTAGAGACATCTATCTTCATATAATCATGTTTGAGTATTACAAGATTACTCCAAGCCTATTAGTGGATCTTGATCGCCTCCATTTAATTAGATGGAGAAGTGATCTCTCCTGGTTTCAGTGGTATAGGAGATCCCACCCTTTACGATGCTTAATTCCCCTATATAAAGACCTTAAAAGATGATTTATATGTACAGAATCCGAGGTTGGGTTGGGCCTACCCAAGGCTTCAACCCAAGCCCAGCCCAGTTGGGTTCAGGCCGACTTTGGAGGCCCATGAGCCCAGAAGTCCAAGCTCACTTCCTTTGGGTTGGGCCCGCCCAAGTTGCACTGCATCTCCAAAATCCAAATCCATCGCATTCCCGAAGCATAGATAGATAGATAAATGATCAAACTAAATAATGAATCGGATGGCTACGATGGTATTCTCTTGATACGCTTCTGACACATCATCAATCACAGCGACAGCGGTGCTGCGGTGAGGGCCTAACTCTAATGGGGGGAGAGCTGGGGGGATAATAAAGATGAGAATTTAGTTACAACGACAGAGCAACGAGCGAACACTTCTCTGAAGCACTCGCTCGGCTCGGAAGTCTCCCTTGTAAGGAATCAAGAAATCTTCTCCAGAAATGAGTAGTCTCTCGTCTCTTACGAGGTCAGTTTAGGTTTCCCAACTCCACATTCTCCGATTTAAATTGCAGGAAGAGAATTTGTTTTCTGGTAGTGGTTGGTTTATTTCGCTTTTGACTTTTGAAGTCGTTTTCAGCGGCTGCTGTTGCTCGGTTGGGTGGAGCTCTTCAAGCTTGTTTGTACAGTTAGGGATTTTCTCAAATGGACGAGCTGGATTTAGGGTTTGTTCCAAAAGGAAGTTCAGCCAGAAGAGATTCCCCAGAGCATGCTTATCTTCTTCTGGTGCGTTTCTTCACCTTTTTTTCTGTCTCTGAACCATTTCTTTGTTTAAATTTCTTGCTCGAGACCCAGATTTTATGCGAAATGTTATTATGTTATTCAATTCGGTGGAAGTAAAAGTTTGAACTCCGCATTTCTATTTATTTTGTTTTTCTCTTTTTACATTTGCTTTTCTAACAGAAAGCCTATTATTCGTATTCAATCTGGTAAAGGATAGCTTTTTATTTCTTCAAAATTGTGTAGTTTAGGCAAAATGGAAATTTCAATCCAATCTGGGTTGAATTCGTATCGTTTTCTCCTTGGCATTTTTTTTAATTAATCTAAAAATCCGAGGAGAAAAATGAATTATATTCTTTGTACTAACATTTTGGAGAATATATAGAGAATACAAGTTGGTGCGCTAAAGTCCAACATAAATTATACAGCAAATCATAACGGCTTAACCATCTTCTAGTACTCACCCTCAAGTTGGAATTGAGAGCTGATGCGAGCTGTGGTGATAGCCTTAGAACGTAGATGCTCTTGGATGAAATTGCAGTCAATTTCAATGTGTTTGGTGTGTTCATGAAACACAGGATTGGCTGCAATGTGAAGCGTAGCTTTGTTGTCATGAAAAGGTGCATAGGCTGAGAATGAGTAAGTCCCAAATCAGCAAATGGTCACTTTAACCATATCAGCTTGCTAGTGGCTGCAGCCATGGCACGGTATTCTGCTTTTGCTGAAGAGAGGGAGACTGTGTTTTGCTTCTTAGTTTTCCACGACAAAGGAGAGGATCCCAGGAATGTAGCCGGTGGTAGATCGACGAGTAGGACATCTGGCCCAATCTGAATTGCAATAGATGTGAAGGAGTAAGTCACTTGAGGAAGACAGTAAAATACCATGCTCGGGGGAAGACTTTAGGTACTGAAGCACATTCATGGCAGCTTCAAGATGACATTGTCGAGGATCCCCCATGAACTAACTGGCTGAGGGTATGGACGGCATAGCTGAGTTCTGTCCTTGTAATGGTTAGGTAAATGAGACGATCAACCAGACACCTATATCAATCAGGATCACATATTGGATTTTCAGAATCAGGCCCAAGATGATGTTGTTGTTCCATTGGAAGGGGGTTGGGCTTTCAGCCCAACATACTAGCTTCTTGAAGAATATTCAATGTGTATTTGCACTGACTAAGAAACAATCCAAAAGATGAGCTAGATATTTTAGTCTCGAGAAAATACTGTAGGTGACCAAGATCCTTTATAAGAAAGCAATGGCTGAGATACTTCTTGAGGTCATTAATAGTAGTAGGATCATCACCTGCCATGACTAAATCGTCCACATATGCAAGTACAACTAAGAATGAACCCAACTTGCATTTAGTAAAGAGTGTGTCAGCCAAGGAGTAATGAAAACCACATTATTTGAGAGCATGAGTTAGTGTTTCAAACCAGTTCCTTGATGCCTGCTTGAGCCCATAGATAGATTTATTCAATTTGCGTGCACACATGTGTCTCCCAGAGGAAGAAAACCGGGGGAAGTAGCATATACACCTCTTTGTGAAGAGAGCCATGAAGAAAAGCATTGTTTACATCCATTTGATGAAGTCCCCAACCTTTGGTTGCAGAAAATGCTGATAAGCAATGTATTGTTACAAGTTTGGCAACTGGGGAAAATGCCTCAATATAATCAATGCCCTCTATTTGTATACAACCTCTTGCAACAGGACGTGCTTTGTAACACTCGGTTGTGCCATCAGGCTTATACTTGATCTTGTAAACCCATTTGCATCCGATGGGTTTTTTGTTAGGTGGTAGCTCTATCAAAGTCCACGTATGAGTATTTTCAAGTGCGGACAACTCAAGAGACATGGCTTGCTTCCAACAATCATGTTTTTGGGCCTGAGAATGTGTGGTGGGCTTAGGTAGATGAATAGTTTGGGAAGCTGAGCAAGAGAGTAGAAAATTAGATATGGGATGACTAGTGGATGAAGTGCATGGGTCAGTGTTGGGCCGAATGGTGGGACAGACATAATCGGAAAGATGGGTTGGGATGTGTTTATCATGCATTGGCTAAGAGGGGCCTACTACAACATGTGTGGGCTTTAGTGAGTTGTGATCAAGTGTGGGCTTAATTTCTTGTGAGCATGGGGTGGTGGTGGGCACTTCGGTATTGTAAGGCTCAACTGTATGGATGGAGTCTGCAATAATGGAGTCATGTTGAAGTATACTATCATCATTAATTGCCGGTGCTGGGATGATTGGGTGTGTGTAGTAGGATCCAAATATTTTTCATCAACATAAGGGAATTGATTTTCGAAGAATTTGACATCACGTGAAACAAATAGCTGATTTGTTTCCATGTCAAGGAGTCAGTATCCCTTTTGTCCATGTGGATAACCCAAGAAAACACAATGCCGGGATCAGGATGCAAACTTGTCACGGCCATGTTGGATTGTGGCAGCATAGGCAAGGGCCACAAGGCAACCAAAAGTACGAAAATGGATATAAGAAGGAGTGTGACCATACAATATTTCAAATGGAGTTTTTCTAGAAAGAAAAAGGGGTAGGGAGGTGGTTGATGATATATGCTGTCATTAAAATGCACTCCCCCTAGAATTTTATTGGTAGATTGGCCTGAAATCCCAAGGCCCTGTCTATCTCTAGGAGATGCCTATGCTTCCTTTCCACTACCCCATTTTGTTGTGGGGTTTCCACGCAAGAGTTCATGGGTTCGAAAAGAAATTCCAAACCATTATCAGAACGAGCATATTGAACTTTAGTGTTAAGCTGAGTATTGACCATATCACAGAACATCACAAAATGAGTAAGCTTCAGACTTGGTTTCAGCAAAAATACTCATGTGGCCCGTGAATGATCATCAACAATTGTCAAAAAATACCGTGCACCAGAGAGAGATGGTGTCTTGTAGCCCTCCATATATCATAGTGAACAAGATAAAAAATAGAAGTAGAATGAGTATTACTAATAGGAAATGATAGGCGCATTTGTTTTGCACGCATACAAGTATCACAACCATAGTTTTCAAGGCGCCAAGGCGAGGCTAGGCGATGCCAGGGGGGGCGCCTTGTTGCCTAGTCGTCTAGGCGTCGCCTAGGCAATGGATTTTTTTAAGTAAAAATCACATATCTTAGGGTAGTTCCCTAGGTTCCATAACCAACTTTCTTTAATAATTATCCATAGTTTTCATAAGAAAATTATAAACTTTATGTTTAAGTCTAGAAAATCAACATATTTATGAGAAGAAAAAGAAGAAAGGAAAGAAAATTCAAAAAATATAGGGGCTGAACCCCTATTTTTGTTATAGGAAAAGAAGAAAAGAAAAGGTGGAAGAAGAAGTCAATGAGGGTTCAATACAACTGTTAGCAATGTTTGTGTTGATTAAACCCTAACAAATAAGAAAATAATAAAAAGAAATTTGTTTATAAACACAAAAATGAATGTTTTTCTTTATCAATGTCTATTTTATAATTATAATCTCAAAAAAAAACAATATAAAAGTATTTTATTACACATTATGCAAAACTGCTTGGCGGTTGGGCTAGGCGAGCCTCCAAGGGCGCCTTGTCACCTAGGCATCACCTTGACAACTATGATCACAACATATGCTAATAGTAGGTATAGTAATGTGCAAGTCTTTAATGTTGGCCAAACATTCATAGGATGCATGTCCAAGCCTGGCATGCCATAAATTGGAGGAATCAACTCTGCTTTGTAGAGCAACAACTGTGCTTATTGGCATTAAGCAGTATAATCCATCACACAGAAGACCTACCCCAATCAGTCTCTTGGAGGTCAGATCTTGCAATACACAGAAAGTGGGAAAAAATATGGCAGCACAATTAAGCTACAATGTGAGTTTACTGATGGAGGCTAGATTGCAGCAAAAACCAGGGACAAACTGAGAGGCACATTACCCTTGGACTGGACTAGTAAACAAGTCCCATTTGGTAATTGAACTGGTCGTGTTCCAGTATCACCAGTGGTACGAAGATCAGACTGACAGGTAGACCTGTTCATGGGTCGGGCTCGAGTCGGGCTTTTACTTTTCATTAATGAAAATTTGGTGGGACCGAGCCCGAGCCCGAGCCCGGCCCGACCAACGGGTCTACAACTTGGGCCCGAGCCCGACCCTGATAAAAAGCCCGAAGCTTGAGGACTCACCGCCGGTGATTGTGTTCGCCGGAGCTGAGTTCGCGGTGACTGTGAGCTGCGACCTGCGATTTTAACAATGATCAGTTCGCGTCTGAGAGAGAGAGAGAGAGAGAGAGAGAGAGAGAGGACTCACTACCGGAGTTGTTGCGCTGGTGAACGTTCGCCGCTTCACCGATTGTGTGGCTGCCTGAGAGTGTGAGGACTGAGAACTGTGGAGGATGTGGAGAAGAAAGGTTCGGCTGGAAAAAGAGGTGAAAGAGCCAAAGAGGTGAAAGAAAGAGGGGTATTCGACTAGGGTTTTTAGCTTTAATTATAGGTCGGGCCGGGCTATTTTGGCGAATCCCGATCCCAGCTCAAATTTATTGTGGGCCAGGCTTTTTGGTCCGAGGTTAAGCCCGAGGGCCCATTTGCGTGTTCAAGCCCGTCCGGGGGCCGGCCCAGCCCGTCGGGCCACCCGGCCCATGAACAGGTCTACTGATAGGGTTCCATATGATCGGTGGCCCCACTGTCTAATAGCCAGACATTTGAATTCCAATGTCCAAACTAGTTCAATTGAGTAACCTTACCTGTAAAGTTGGACATGATCGGCTTTCCACTGTTGAGAAGGTTGATCAGTTGTTGATATTGTTCATATGTGAGGTTGGCTATTGGTGATATTCCAATGTCCAAGCTGGTAGATTGATTGGCAGTTGAGAATTTTGAGTCAGATGCCTTTCCAGCCCAGGTGGCTTTCCTTTTGATCCCCCCTTGCTTCCTAGTTGGCTGAATATCCAACGAGCTCGTAGCAACGATCTTTAGTGTGACCTTGTTTCTTACAGTGGTCTCAACGTAGCCGAGGTCGATCATTGCCATTCTTGGAGCTTCCGGCTCGTAGTGTTGCTGATTTCATGGCTGCGGCCTCAATTGTTGTCACTTGCTGACTCACCAAATCTTGATATTTTTCTTCTTGCGACACCAAAGCATAGACCTTGGCTACGCTTAGGAGTGGTTCCATACTGAGCACACTAGATCTGATGGCGTTAAACTTCTCACTTAGGCCGAGAAGAAATTGATAAACACGGTCTCTTTCTCTTTCAGCAAAGAACTCTTTCACAACTCCTTCGTAGGGGCAGACTGGTGCGCCAGAGAGTGTTGCCAACTTGTCTCATATGCCTTTGATTTTGGTGTATTACACAAATACATGGAGATTTTCTTGCTTTAGTAACGCAAGGTCTCTCTCCAACTGGAAGATATGAGGGGCGTTGCCTTGAGAAAATCGTTGTTCCAGATCAAGCCATATTTCATGGGCATTCTCCACATAGATGATGCTCTGGTGTAGCTCTCGAGCAACAACGTTAAAAATCCAAGATATCACCATCGATTGTGTTGTCGACGAATCCAACTTTGTTCTTGGCACCAAGTGCGATGATCATAGCACATTTCCACGTATGGTAATTCTCCTCTGTCAATAGGCAAGAAACTAGGACGGTGTTGGGATTATCGGAGGGGTGAAGGAAGAACGATGATAGTGGATCTGCAATTTTTTCGCTGATGTCCTCATTTCCGATCTCTAGTGCCATTTTTGCACTTCATCACACTGTCTCGAACGAAACTTAGAGTTTGAGCGAAAACAAAGGGACCTTTCTCACAGCTTTGATACCATCTAAGAATTTGAGGAAAAAAATGAATTATATTCTTTGTATTAACATTTTGGAGAATATATAGAGAATACAGGTCGGTGCGACAAAGTCCAACTGGCTAACAAATTATACAACAAAACCTAACGGCATAACCGTCTTCAAGACTATAATAATTAAGAAAATCGTTTAACATTCATTTATGTGGAAAATGCGACTCTCCCCATCCCGCATAATTTCTCTGTATTGTTTCCAATCTTAATTGCTTTGATTTGATTTTTTTTTTTAAGTTTTACCATCAATATTGCGATAAGCCATTGTTATTTGGTATTGATGGCTACATCATCGTCATTATCAATTTATCATTTCATTTTCTTATGCATGGAACGAGCTTTTACCTTCCTCTTGTTGTACGAGAGACTGAATTTAATTCCAACCAAATTACAATACAATTATCTTTCAAAAGGTTTTTCTTTGTTGAACTGTCACTCCCCTTTTGGCATGGACAAATTGTTTGGCTGAATGGTATAACCTTAATGTTTTTAGAGCTTTATCTTGAGCCCGGCATTTTGCCAATGCACCTTGATTTTAATTCTTGAAACTGATGGGATATTGTATAGGTGATTCTTTTACTTTGTGCCCTCACCCCTTCCTGGGAGATATCTGGATTTTGCTTTGGTTCATTTTGATTTTCATTTTTTTATATGCGTCACTGCTTCCAGATCCACTCTTGGTTAAAGCTGCAAGAGGAGACCCTGTTAGTCGTCCTCCAGCATGGATGATGCGTCAAGCAGGAAGGTATATGGCTGTTTATAGAAAGCTTGCAGAGAAATACCCATCATTCAGAGAGAGGTCAGAGACGACTGATCTCATTGTGGAAATTTCTTTGCAGCCTTGGAATGCATTCCATCCTGATGGGGTTATTATATTCTCTGACATCCTTACCCCTCTCCCTGCATTTGGTGTCCCGTTTGACATTGAAGAAGTAAAGGGTCCTGTTATCCAGTCTCCAATTTGTTCTGAAGAGGGATTGAAAACACTGCATCCAATTGACTTGGAGAAACTTCATTTTGTGGGGGATTCACTGAGAATTTTACGTCAAGAAGTAATGACTTTTAATTTGTTTTTTTTTTTTTTTAATTTTTTGAGAATCAACAGAATGAATTCATTCATCAATAATTGTCAATAATAACCTTTTGTCTGGTTGGTTTTCCTTTATTTATTAATGTTATTTTTGTGATCACCATCATTGTTATTTTAGAATATCTCAAAATTTCCTTGTGTAGGTTGGGGATAAAGCAGCTGTGCTGGGTTTTGTGGGGGCTCCATGGACAGTTGCTACATATATAGTGGAAGGGGGTACTACGCGTACATATACGACCATAAAGAGCATGTGCCACACTGCACCACATGTATTGAGAGCTCTCCTTTCTCATCTGACACAAGCAATATCTGACTATATCATCTACCAAATATATTCTGGGGCACAGTGTATACAAATATTTGATTCATGGGGTGGGCAGCTACCACCTGATATGTGGGAGCTCTGGTCAAAGCCTTATATTGAAGAGGTAATTCAAAGTTCTCTTAGTTCACTTCAGCTATCTTCTTTCTTAAAATAGCAATTCCTAGTGGTTTCACTAAAACTGTTATTTTCTTTTCTTTTCCGTCTTTTTATTGAACTATGATACTATAAGGGTTTCCCTCTCCATATTGAGCTTAACTATTTATTTGATGCCACAAACCACATTGATAGTTCTTTTATCTTTTCCTAGAATAATATTTTTTAGGTTTCCCTTGAATAATTGCTTACAAAATTACACTTTTTGAATAACCAGGAGCCCACTAGTGAACAGATATCTCCCTATTTCATGGTTAATCCAATCATATAACCTATCAGGGAGAACAATTACCCTTACTGTTGCTATTCTTTTATTAGTAAAAATTTCACAAAATATTGCTGAAAAGATGAAGTGTTTCACAAACTTTTCAAGTTGTCTGCTCTTGAATCTTGCCTTTTTTTTTATATCTTCTGAAGGGCTAGACAACGGGGGGTAGCCCATCCCCCAACCCATAGCCCCCCAACCCAAGTGCAGGCGGGATTAGATCCCAAGTCTCCGCTATGACCAGCAGGAGACCTTACCAACCAGCTGGTTGGCACCTTGCAATCTTGGCTTTAAATCAATGTTGTATGGACTCTTCTTAGTTTTTGAAGTACTATAGTGGAAATACATTGGACTTTGACACTCCAATTCTAGATCTTTACTTCAGGTTTTGTAGTTTACTCTTCTCTATCTATTATGCATGACAAAAGTAAAATCTATCATATATGTGACTGATGGGTTTCTTTTAAGATTTTTTTTTTAATCTATAACAAGAAGAGGATTTATTAGAAGGAGAAGTGTAGAAATGTATAATGAGATAAACACATGAAAAAACAGGTGCTAAAACAAGCCAAAATTGTAAAAGAGGGCTATAAATTCTTCCTGATCTGGTAAAGCAGAGCTGCAATGAACATCCTAGAAAACCCACCTATGTGCAAAGAAACAGCTAGGCCATTGGTGGACCTTCTAGTCCAGTGGAATGAGTGTTCCCTATGGCTACCAGAGATTTAGTCTCTATTACAATGGCAATAAAATTGTTGTATTTGTTTGTGTCCTTTTCCATGGGTATACAATATGAATCTTGACAAACCCCATTATTGCATTCAATATCTGCAAATTCTTAGGTTCAAGATGAAGGATATATATCCTTTAGCTCAATCATTTATTTATCTGTTTGACCATCTTGTTGAATTATTAAAATTGCAGATTGTTGGTGCAGTAAGGAGGAAGTATCCTCAAATACCATTAGTCCTCTACATCAATGGCAATGGTGGCCTCTTGGAGCGCATGAAGGGGACAGGGGTTGATGTGATCGGGCTTGATTGGACAGTGGATATGGCAGATGGGAGGACAAGATTGGGAAATGACATCAGCATACAGGGAAATGTTGACCCAGCTTACCTGTTTTCTCCGCTTCATGCATTGACAGAAGAAGTTAAAAGGTTAGTTCTGTGTGCATTTGGATTTAGTAAAAGAGCTAGAGTTTTGTCCTACATTATTGAACTTCTATATCCTGCTTGGCATCTACAAGCTTCTCCAACCTATACCTGGATCTTTGGTGGCACCATGGCCCAAAAGTCTTACTGATTTAGTTGTCTTTAATTTTTTATCAAGTTCTAATGCTTTGATGCTAACATAGTTATAGCAGGTGGTAAAGAGAGCAGGCCCCAATTCTAAGACCCATCCCAGCCTGAGGCCTAGCTAAACATGATGTAAAACCTGAGGTAAAGACAATTGCAGCTCAGGCTAGGCTCAGGCCTTGGGCAGTAATTGTAGTATTTTCCTGCTAATGCTTTTATAGTTTTACACTCGACTTTGGATATATAATCCAATTTACAAAATAAAAATAAATACATAGAAATACTGCTAGATGCTTATTTATGCATAATGTACATAGTGAATGTTCTTATCTTGAGCTGAATATCATATTGTTGAGAGTAGTATCTGTTATGTGATTACACTCGATTAAATGACCCATGGAGACCAAGGTTTAAAATGTTGGTGTTGGTGGAAATGTAGGTCACTTAAATGTAAGAAACATATTGAAAATGTCAGAAATGCTATATAGAAAAATAGTAAAAATTATAGACATGGTAGAAGCAGTATGAAATATGTGGAAATATAAAATGATATTTTACAATGATAAAAGAAGCTTTTTTTTTTTTTTATCAATAACAACAGCTTCATTAATTTAAAAGAAAAGAGGGATTATGGATACAAGAGGGGAGATAAAATATCTTAGCTCCCCAATAACGGAGTACAAAGAGAAAAAAATTAAAAACTAGCCCAAAAGACAGACTCCCTTTTCACCCCTTGCTTGGCCAACCCATCCACAATGAGTTGGCACTCCTCTTCACCCAGTTGTATTGTATCTTAATGTCCCTACACAGCCATAAGAACTGTTTCTTTTCATTGTTATTATTCCACAATCCACTGTCCTCTTTCTTCAACCAGCTAACCACCACCTTTGAATCACCTTCCGGGATCAAACGGCTGATATTTAATTCCTTTGCTCTTCGAATTCCTACAAGAGCTGCAAGGATGCACTTCTAGATTATTATCCTGTTACAATCCCCCAAATTGATATAAAGGCCACCCTGATTGGACAACCGAGTGCAGAGTTATGGCCTTTGGAAGTTTGCACATACATTGAATGTGCAGTGCAACCTGTGACCTGGTGACTGGGTTGAACTGGTCAATGGTTCAACTGTTTTGGTCGGTCAGTTTTTGACCAAGCCAATGGATTTTGGTCAAAAGCCGGGTTTCTAGTAAATTGGATCTGGAATTGTGACTGGTGACAGTTTGAACAGTTTGGTCGTCTAGGTCAATGGTGGGTTGAAAACATTGTAAAAACATCCTTCTCTTTTTGCTTTTAACATTTTAATGTTTTACCACTGGTTATCAATAGACAGCAAGTGTGCCAAGATATAATGCAAATGGACGGACTGTCATGGGGTTGTGGCCTGTGGGGATGGAAAGCATACTTCACTGAACTTGGCAGAATTTAAAATGATTTCCCGTCTCAAAATTTTTTTACTCAAAATTGTGGAATAGGAACGTTTGAAGTTTGGATTTTTCCAAATTCATTCAAAATTTGAATAGATATAGACATTGGCTCTCTCAATTCCATTTCCCCCATAATTAAAAATCAACCTTAGAGAGTTACAAAGAATAATAGAAGATCTGCAAGCACACATGAATTGGATTCCAAGGGCTACCAATGGGTTGGCAGATGAACTAGCAAAGCAAGGGGTAACAGGGGGATCGACTGTATTGGGGCCAAATTGGCTAGGGCCTAAGTGTTTCTTTGTTTTTAGGTTGGCCGAGGCTAGCCTCTCTAGTTGGGTTTTCTGCCTTGATGTACTTGCATTTCGGTTTCTAATTAACAAAATCCAGTGCTGTTATCCATCAAAAAAAAAAAAAAAACAGAACTGATTCCCAAATAATTTGATACAAGTTACCACTAAGAGTTAAAATCTTATTTGAGTTGAGAGTTTTATGACATACTAATTTTGGATCTGCTTGAGCTGTGTATCTTGAATCCATTTTATGAAACTGACATGTTACAATTTTTTTTCAGGGTTGTGAGATGTGCAGGGCAAAGAGGTCACATCCTTAATCTGGGGCACGGTGTGCTTGTTGGGACACCTGAAGAAGCAGTTGCTCATTTCTTTGATGTTGCAAGGAGCTTGAAGTATGATACAAATTACCAAGACCGGGTTGAAGCATCCAAACTTGTTGTCTGAAATAGAGTTAGGGTAATTGAGAAGGTTCACCTTTTTTTTCCCATCAGTAGTTGGTTTCAAGTTCTATTTGTCCTCCCCGTAGCAGTGGTATCTTGACCTGGTTTTTTGGGGGTTCAAAAATGAGTTACCGATCCAGGTTGTGAGTTGTACATAATTTCCAGGTGAGGCTACCGGTTATTTTCTTTTGTACCTCTAGCAAGTGACGTTTGGGTCGTTATAATAAATACTCTTGTATGTTAACACTTCTTTTCTGTAATTTTTTGTGTTTGTGCGTCCACCATTTGCAAATATGCTTATCCACTAAGAGAATGCACAAGTTTAGATGTTTAATGGTGCCTGATCTTTTTTACATGCCGCTTTGAGGAACATAAATATGAATAATGGGGGAAAAGCTTGGTTATTTCAATAAAACAGTACGAGCTGTTTTGAAGCTTTGTGCATGAAGTATGATTCATGAGGAGTATAGAAAAGGCAATTTTAAGAGATGTATTGCCACATGTTGTATATATGATATTGATAAAAAAATAATATATACATGGTTGCATCATGAAAACTCAAATAAATCTTAAAAGTACATTGATAATCTTAAGGATCTGTTTGGTTTGTGGGAACATGGGTCTAGAATTGGAATCAAAATGGGTTATTCTGATTCCAACTGTTTGGTTGGGCAGAATCAGAATTCCATTCTTATTTCTGGTGGAATGATATTTCTCCATTTGGGGGAATGGTCATTCCCTCCTCTTCCCTTGAAAATGAAATTTTATTCCTGCTGATTTCAATTTTCGTTTCCATTCCTATGTGAACTAAATATGCTATGGGAATAAACCATTTCGATTTGAAAATGAAATTTTATTCCTGCTGATTTCAATTTTCGTTTCCATTCCTATGTGAACCAAACATGCTATGGGAATAAACCATTTCGATTTTGATTTTGAAAGATTTCGGTTCCATTCCCATTTTGACTATGAACCAAATGGACCTTAAATGTATCATAATCCACATCTATGAATAAATAAAACTATGTTGTTGTCGATTTTTAATTGAATTATAAATTAATCAATTAAATATTGTTTTTTTAAGCCTAATTGAATATTAAGTTACACGCATGATAAATTGCGATGTTACATTATTACACATGGCTTAAAACTTTGTTCACATGAATTGAATTATATACTTAACCACCAAGGTTCAAAGTATTGATGCTTTAGAGTTCATTTTGATTGAAACTTTTTTTTTTTGGTAATCGATTGAAACTCTTATTCTTTTGTGTTTTTCCCTTTTATTTTGGTCTAGTAATTTGATGAGGAATGTGTCACATCAGCTATTAAGGCTGCATTTAGAAAGATATAATGGAGTGTAAATTCTGGTTCAGGGTAAATTTGCACTTTGGTTCATTTTTGTCTATGTTTGACATCGTTATATTTTTGCATTGACAAATGATAGACCAATGCATATTTACATTGATAATAAGATGTAAAAGTACATCAAAGGCTCAGTTTTGAAAGAGTACAAATACAATTATGTGTAGTACAAATGCATACAAAAATAATATGAAATGTAATGCTTTGTACTCTATAAATTTGTATTTGTACTCCTTCCAAACTGAGTCAAAAAGAAGTAAATTTGCATTCAAGTGGGTTTTGATAAAAAAAGCATATGCTTTATTGGAATTTGTTTTTGCATCCATTATATCTAAAAAGCTTGTTTGGTAAGAAGGTAAATTTGTCAAAACTAACTCAACTTTGCAATTTAGGTTGTGTTTAGAAACGATGCAAATATGTAGTGTAAAACGGTTCATATAAATTGCAAAGTTGGGTTAGTTTTGCATTGACAAATTTACCCTCTTACCAAATATATTTTTAGCTGTAATGGATGTAAAAACAAATTCCAATAAAGCATATGTTTTTTTATCAAAAGCCCACTTGAATGCAAATTTACTTCTTTTTTATTGATGTACTTTTATATCTTATTATCAATGTAAATATGCATTGGTCTGTCATTTGTCAATGCAAAAATATAATGTTGCCAAACACAAGCAAAAGTGAATCATAGTGCAAATTTACCCTAAACTGGGATTTACACTCCATTTGCATCGTTTCCAAATGCAGCCTTATATGAACCGTTTTACACTAGATATTTGCATCATTTCCAAACACAGCCTAAAGTTTAAAACAATTGAAATCACTCGAACTCTTATGTATCAACGATTTTGAAAATTGATACGTATCTGGCGATATACATTGATATGTTGTGATATTTTGAACCTTATTAACCACTAATATTAATATTAGTTGCTTACCAATTAATACCAGCAACAAAAAAGTTTAAGTGGTTATTTTTTATAAATTAATCACTTAATTATATTTAGTTTAACCACTCATTAATATTAGTATTGTCACCAAAAAACTACTAATATTTATATTTAAGTTTAACCACTCAAATGATCCATAATACAAATTACATGCTAGTATAAAATTAGTAAACTTTTCTTATTAAATAATTGTTTTACATTTATGGATATGATGGTTCATCTACAAATCCACATTATAATTATTTCCTATCATTAGATCATACAAAATATATAAATTTCTCTTTTTATCTCTTTTTTTTTTTCTCTTTTATTTTTGTGAGAAAACTCCATAGATAAAAAACTCACCGTTCTGTTCAAATTGCGTCTAGCTTCAAAAATTTGGGTTCTTGATCATTTTCTTTTGTTTTTTTTTATTCTTTTTGTAACCTAGAGATTTTATGTCACCTAGAAGATTCTCACAAGGTTTTAGAGTTAAAAGAAAAGCTTCTAAAGGGTGCTAGAAATCTTCTTTTTATGGCTGCGTTTGGATTTAGTGTAAAACGTCATCGGTGTAAAAGTATACAAATGACGTTTTACACTGAACCATAGTAAGTGATCGTTAAACATTTTGAAAATCGTGATAAAAAAGTGTATGTAGAACTTTATGTTTGATGAGGTTTTATATCGATGCACGATGTAAAACTCCACTCCATCCAAACACCAATAAATCTAAACCAGAGTGGAGTTTTACATCAATCTTCATTTACACTCCATCTAAATCCTAACAAAACCAAACTGACATAAACTTTTACATCGTTCTTGATTTACATCATTCCAAACCCAGCTTTAAGTGATTTGTTTTTTATTTGCCACTGTAGGTAAGGTCTGTAGTTTTTTTTTTTTGAAGCCCCTAACTAGCTATTGACCAATAGGCAGCTCCTATTTTCTATGTATTCCACATGTCGGTGACTCACTGGGTGATATGTCAAGGTTTTAAAAAACGGATCAAACACGTAACTGTTTTGGGGACTGATTCTCGGGTTGAATGGCCCGTTTGACTTAAAAAATATGAAATTAAAAAAATAATCAAAATAAAAACGGCCAAAAGCTATTGTCTGGGTCAGAGTCACTAACCAAATTAACGGTTTTTGGTTCAAGAGTGGTTTTAGAGTGAAACGGAACCAATTGCCTGACCGGTTCCTAAGTCAACCGGTCAATAAAGAACCAAGTGGAGGACTGGGGCAATGTGTTATGTGTAGAAACTTCAAAACAACCAATGCTATTTTTAATTTCCAAAACAATTGAGCTTTTTTCAAATAAAGTAATAAATTTGGGGATGGAAGAAAAAATATAATATAGAAAAATAGCGATGAATGATAATGGCCGGTGAAAATGTATAAGCCAAAAGTTTAGGATTCACTCACATTCAATTCCAAGTTATGTTATTGTCTAAAACTCCCCATGACTTTTTAGCATTTCTGTAAAACTCACCATAACTTTTCAAAACGTATAGGGAACCCCATGTTAGTGCCTTTTTGTTTTCCAAAACTCACCATTAGTGTTCATTGACAGAATGGCATGTCAACCTTATTAAACATATTTTTATGTCAGCCTAATTTTTATTCAATACACCTTTGTTCTAATTGAATCAAAAATGTTTTTTTATTTGAAACTCCCTTTTTACTTAAATATGTAAAATGGGCAGAAATTTTTTTTGATTGAAATATTTGAGATATATTTGTGTTGTTTTTATATCAAAGTTTTGTTTTATTTTCCATTTACAACAGAACAAAGGGTAAAATAGTAATCTACCAACATCAGTTAGCCTATTTAACGTCAATTTAATGACACGGGGTTACCTAAGCGTTTTGAAACGGTGAGTTTAAGAGAAATGCTGAAAAGTCATGGTGAGTTTTAGACAACTTTCCTTATTATTATTATTATTATTATTATTATTTATTTTTGGACAATAATAGGAAGAGCTACTTAAAACTGGGGTAGCTAGGCCCCAAACATCACACAAACAAATGAAACTAACTCATTAAGAAGAGCATGGGGATGAAATAGGAGAGGATCTTCATCTATTTGGCAAAGCTTTACGTGCTAGTCAATCCACAACTTGATTTGCTTCCCTAAATGAAGGCTGTACTCCACACCAAGCTCCAAAGTCTTGGCCAGCCTCGAACATTCCTCCACAATGGTCTTCAATTTCAACAGGATCTAACATTGATTCTTGAGACACTTGATCATCAACAAAGAGTCACCTTCAATGCAAACCAGATAATTCCTGAAATTGAGAACAATATTATAGGCTTCCCCAAGCTGCCCAAGCTTTAACAAGATGAGTTAACCCCAACAAAGTAAGCTTTTACATCTAGAACTTCTCCAAAATTATTTCTAGCAATGCAAGCAATTGAGAAAGCCCCATCCTCATTCAAGAAGTGTCAAAATTTATTTTGATGTCCTGGGACTTTTGGGCTTTTCCACCTAATGTGTCTCCAACATTTAAGCATAGAGGGAATTGACTGAGGACTAACAGCCTTATTATCTCAGAAAAAAAAAATTAAAGCACGCTCAACCAAAATAGGTGGAGAGAGACATTTGTTGTTGAAAATTCTATTATTTGTATTTCTCCAAATCATCAAAAGAATAATGCAACATTTTTCAAGTAAATTTGGTTCCATCATTTTAATTAAACATTTCCACCATTGTAAAATAGAAGAATCACTCTCTTTGGGACCAGAAATTGTAGGGCTGGTGATTGACCACACTTTCTTAGGAATGACAAGTTTTAAATACGTGATCAAGATCCTTCAACTCACCACAAAAAATACAAGCTCCATCAATATAATATTCATTCCCCTCAATTGGAGAAAAACTCTACTTGGGAGCCTATAATGAAGTAGTAACAAGGTAAACATCTTAATTTTTTTTGTAGGAACATTAAGATCCCACACTCTTAATAGACAAATTAGGTTCAACTGACTCTCTAGGAACAACACAACCCTCGTTAATTTGATAGAAAATTTCTCCTTAGGCTACGTTTGGTTTGAAGGAAAAAGTAGGAAAAGGAAGGGAAAGGTAAGGAAACCTTTACAAACCTTGTATAGGTTTTGATACCTTTCCCTACCTTTTCCTTCAAACCAAACATAGCCTTAGGGTCAAGCCTCCAAATGACGGAAGGAAAGTGGATTTAATTTTATTCTACACCAGATTAGGAACTAGGTTATGAATTTGGTTTTCCCTCCAAACCATTCTATCATGGTCAATAACTTCACTCACTTTAAAATCTTCCTCAACAAAAGAAGGGTCACAATTAATTACTTTAGAAATAGATGAGGCATCTACCCATTTGTCTTTCTAGAAGTTTATGGATTTTCCATCTCCAATAATCCACCTAATACCATGATTTATCAAAGGTCTAGTACTGAGAATCCCTCTCTAAGCCCAAGAAATGCCATTTTTAGTTTTTGCATTCCAGAAATTCTTTATTTTGATACGAACTGAATCCACAAATGATTTTTATTAATATCCTCAATAACATTATTGGGGATTTTGAAGGATCTCATAATCAATTGAGGCATCATACTATAAATTGAGTTAATCAATGTGGCTCTTCCAAGAAAAGATAGAGTTGTGTTTTTCCTACCCCCAGCTTACTATTAGTTTTTTACTTGAGATCCTTAAATATTTTCTTGAAAACATGACCATTAATGATAGGGGCACCCAAATAGGAGCCAGCCTTTGACTCCAGAGGAATTTTCAATATTTTAGACATAATCTTTTGCAATTCGGACATTGAGAACCTTAAAGTCAACTTTGTGAAATTCGGACATTGACATGAAGCTTCGGAGAAATTTTGGAGAATTTCTTTAATCTTAGGCAAGCTGGTGATTTTGTAAAGATTAAACAATCATCAGTAAATTAGAGATTAGGAATATAGGGCCCACCTCTTGAAGTAGAATACCCAATAAGGCTCTCTGGATTATTTGCTTCAACTTCAAAGTTTTTTGTAAGAACATCGACACATAACATAAAGAGGGGAGAGAGGGTCACCTTGTCTAATTCCCCTAGTAGGACAGACACTTCTCGAAGGAAGCCATATACCAAGATTTTATATGATACCGATCTAATACAAGCCATCACCCAATCAATCCATTTTTTTTATAAAAACCAAATTTGATGAGGACTTTCTCAATGAAATCCCATTCAAGCCTATCATGTCTTTTCCATGTCCATTTTGTAAGCCACAATACCCAAGTTACCCCTTTTTTTTAATTGAATGTATCATTTCATGCATAATAAGAATATTATCATTTATTTGTCTATTAGGGACAAAAATATTCTGGAAAGGAAAGATAATGGAGTCCAAGGAGGGTTTAATCCGATTAACAAGATTTTTTGCAATAATTTTATAAATAACACTGTATAAACTTATAGACCTATAGTTGTTAGCCAATTCAAGGTTTTTTGATTTAGGGATCAAAGTAATAAATGTTTCATTGAAGGTTTTGTTAATTTGATCCAAATTAAAAGTACGCTTTCATTGCCTTACAAGCAGTATCTCCAATAATTGCACAAAATTTCTTGAAAAATAGAACATTTAGGCCATCTAGGCTGGGGGCTTTTAAATCTTTCATGGACCTAAGCACATTCCAGATTTCCTTATATGTAAGATAATCGCAAATAGCCTTATTTTGGTCTTCATAGATGCATAAATTGATATTACAGATACATTAGTCAATATCTTTAGTCCCCTTAGTCTTGAATTTCTCTTCAAAATTTTCCAAAAAAAAAAAAAATGTCACATGGGACGATTTAATGGCCTAAACACAGTAAACGGTATCTACACGTGAAAAGGTTGTGTCCACGTGAAAAGGTTGTACATGCCTATGTGCATGAGAATCTATTAAGCCAGTGCATGTGAGAGCCAGAAAAACATGATATTAGTTAGGGATGCTTTTACAAGATTTGCTCATTGAAACTGTCTACATCCTTTATAGCATATACTTAGGGAGTGTAGACATATGTTACTATGCAACACACGTGTGTACACATGGTTTGTGAAGAGATGCGATCTAAAGGCTCGATAGTGACCATTCGCTTTCAACTTTTCAATCCAATGGTCAAGAATTAACCAGGTGTCATCAAGAGACATAAGTTACCTTTCAAAGCGACTCTCCTGTAATCATTAAACTGCTTGACCCGATTAATGATTGTTGAGTTGCTTTCAAATTAATTTTAAATTTTAAATTATTTTAAAATAGAAATTGAAAAGTACTTTTATGTTCCATAATCTTGTTTGATTATTTCTAATTAGACCTGTTCATAGATTAGGTCAGGCGGGGCCAAGCTTAATCTATGTATCAATAGAAAACATTTAGACCTGAGCCTGAGCCTAATCTGACCATCGAGCCTAGATCTTGTGCCTAAGCCCAGCCTTTATATCAAACCCAAAGTCCAAGACCAAGATTATACATAGACTATAGTTTTTATTCAATAAAATAGTGTTTTGCTTATACATAGATTATAGTTTTTACTAGTCATGGTGACGAAAGCTCACAAGAGGGGTGGGGGGACTATAATGATAAAAGAATTATTTTCCATAACTCGTTTTTGCTTGCCCCTGTTTTTGTGGTGATGGTCGAGTGCTTTATCCCTGCATCATATGGTTGGGTATGTTAATAAAAACAAAATCAGAGTAAAAAGTTTACCTTAACAATGGTGCATTATTAGTAGCATGACCAGATGTCCCATCTCTCCAACCAAAACAGGCATCGACAAGGTGGAAACCTTGAAATGATATGACTAACCAATAGAGTTCAGAATTGGAACAAATTATAAGAAACCCATGGCCCAGTTATAAAATAGTAACATGTGGCAATACCCACACTAAAAATATTGAGGTAACACATTGGTTCCCAGAACTATAATTTATAGCAACCAACCTTACAACCAATAAATGCCTTTTAATCTTACTGCCAGCGTTTGGATGACTTTGTCAAAGAAGAGCCGCTGGTGGTTTTCCTTGAACCTGGAGGCACGTTAAAATGGAAAAAATTGGAGCTAATTAGACCAGAAAATGGGTAGTACAGTCCTTGGACCAGTAAAGAAGGAAACTGTACAATTTTCAAGGAATCCCAGCTAACCCGGCAAGATATCAAACTATACATACTTGCTGACAACCTAGACATGTCCTTAGATGATGATGGCCGAAGGAGTTTTGGTTGCCCCTGCTTTGGTGGTGATGGTCGTGGTATTTTCGATGGTGCTTTTTCCCTGCATCATATAGTTTGGTATGTTGATAAAAAATGAATCCAAAGACTTCTTAATGGTGCAATATATTTAGTAGCATGACCACATATCCCATATCCCCAACCAAAACTAGCATCAACAAGGTGGAGTTTTATATAGCATTCAGCATGCATATTAGTTGAAAAAATAGCAATTCTCTTTATTAAGAACATTAAATTTCCTCTAAAATGTAAGGATGCCTAGTCGCCTAGATGACACCTTGACAACTATGCAGAATTAAAAGTATGCTGCAAAATCCATTTCACTTAGCTTGAAGGTAGATGGCAGGTGGCCTCCCCAAAGTTCCATAGAGTTCAGAAGTGGATCAAATTACAAGAAATCCATTGGTTCAGATAACATACATTATGTACACATGCAGCAATACCCACACTAATAGGTAACAAGAACTAGAAAGTGATAATATCATACTGATAAGGAAGTGATAACATTGCTTCCCATAACTATAATTAATAGTAACCAACCTTTACAACCAATAAAAATTTGAACAATATGAGAGTGGCTTTCTAGTAGGTTAATAACAAGAACAGTATCATTTGCATTCTATCATTTATCATGTGTAAAACCGTAATTTATCATACGGGGCCCCAAGAACCACTTTACAAAAAGGAAACACCTAGAATCAAAATGAATAGATGTAATGCTAGAAGAATGAGACATACCACAAAATCAAAAGCTAATTCCATAGCTGTGGGTTATATGTTAAAACTCAAACTCTCAACCCTACATTTTGGAAAAATGACAAGGGGAAAAAGCTAGAGAAAGAGAGCTTCTGAGGTCAGAAGCATTGCATAGTGTAGAACATATATAGAACATAGCCCTTTCAAATAAATACAAAGCATTATGGTATGTGTAGTGATGTAATTATGAGAATGCTGGTTTCTGCACATCGATCAACTAGCTGCATTAGAAAAACAATTAGAATAACATAAGCACCAACGTATTATTTGTGTATCCAACTAAGTTGGCAAAAGATCAGAAACTTTGGCATTTCAACTTTCTATAATTACTATGATGAGAATTATGTCCTCAAACAGGAAAAGCCACAAGGTAAAGAAAAAAAAAAGAAAAATACTCACTTCTCTGTGCTCTCTTCTGGTTTTGAACTCTCTTCTGGTTTTGAACTCTCAGGGCTCTCTGGTGTTTTTGAACCCTCAGGGAAAAGAGTGAACTCAACAACACTGCATATTGAACCATCTGTTTCTGTTCCCATGGAAAGGCCACTGTCAGATATGTCACTTAGTCTCTCCTCAGAATCTGCATCTCCAAACCCTAAGAGATCAACATCTGCAGAAAAATTTTGTCCAGCATCCCCTGCAGCAAGCTTTGACTGGCGGAAGAATTCCTTTTGGTGCCTGAAGTCATCCAGAGATTGCTGAGAACCAGCCTCAGAGAGTTTATCACTGTACTCTGAACAATTGTCCTGATCAGAAGCTGCTTTGTCAAGTTTTGAGCCTTTCCCTCCTGTCTGTCTTCGGCTTCGCAAAGAAGTTGCACTAAGAGAGTGTTTACTTGGTGAGGGAGGTCCACGCCTGAGAAGGTTTGTGCCCCGCTTTTCACTACTGAAACTGGGAGACACAGTTCTAAGATCTTTCAGTAGTTGCAACTGCTCAATTTCCTCATCTTTCTTTGCAATTGTGTCCTTAAGCGAAGCCACCTGCAAGGTCAACAAGAATATAGAAGGTAATTATCTAAATGTGCTTAAAAATATGTATGAAAACATTTTATTGATCATTAATAAGAGAACTAACACTAATGATAAATAATCACTAAAAAGTTAATCTAGAAATATGTAAAAACGTAAAAAATGAAATTAAAAAAGAAATATTATTAATTACATGTAGGATAGATAATTTAAAAAGATATTGTGTGAAGTAATAATAATTAATAACAAAATAAAATTAATTACCTATGATTTAAAATATTAAAAATCAAGCGTGCAAAGCACCCTATCTCTCATTGGGACTATAGTACCCTGCAGCATGGTGACAACCATGATATTTACCCTTTGCCACTATTTTGGGCATGGCGGTGAACACACCATGATATAGTGGGTTTCCATCAATGCCACACCACAACCAAACGGCTGAATGGAGTGCGGTGTGGTTGAAAACCCACTATATTGTGGGTTAACCACACAATCGAATGGCACCTAAATCCCACTTGCTGAACGACCATGTTGAACCTGCTGAACCAAGTCCTAGGTGACTGCTTTAGTCCAAACAGGAACTTTTTTATCCAACACACCTTATGCTTACTGCCTTCAGCAAGAAACTTTGGTGGCTGAACCATATACACTTCCTTCTCTAAATCACCATTTAGGAAAGAATTCTTCACTACAATTGGAGAAGATTCCAGTCCAACTTCATAGCTAGAGAGAGTAGAACATGAATAGAATTCATCTTAGCCACCAAGGCAAAAGTTTTTGCATAGTTCACACCGTATATTTGTGTGATTACTGCCTTCAGCAAGAAACTTTGGTGGCTGAACCATATACACTTCCTTCTCTAAATCACCATTTAGGAAAGAATTCTTCACTACAATTGGAGAAGATTTGTAAGAAAACCACATCAGTAGTTAGTTAAAACAATCATGTAAGACATGAGCTAGCTATTATAAATATGGGAGAGGCTGAGAATCAGATAATGATGTTTTCAAGAACCTTCTTCTCTTCTTAGGAGGACGGATTGCCCTCGAAGTAGCCCCTGTGGTGGACAGTACCCACCAAAGACCACACTATTAGTATCAATTGGCTAGTTAGTGATGCAATCAATATGGCCCTCAACTAATTAGTTGCTTTGATAAATGTGTAAGCACTATGCACTAGTCAACAACAAATTTTGCAAGTTGAAGAAAATTAGAGAGGAAGCTATATCTGAATAATAGCAAGTAGGTTGCTATGTATAGTTTTTTTTTTTTTCATAATGTTGATTATTGTTCCCTAAAGAAGCAGTTTTACATTTATTAATCTTAAACGACAATTAATCTAATGAGAACTGAAAAATGAAAAGAAAAAAAAATAGATACCATCTTTTTGATTGTTAGTCATTAAGATACTACAGTGGCCCAGAATCTATCTATCGAAAGTTAGACTTAAATACATAGTGTTGAAGTAATGTAATATATTTTCATTGGATTAACAAAAGGATAAGAACATTTCTAATCATGTAAACTTGTATATTTTGAGGCAATGTTGACATGACATAAATAGTTTCAGTTTATTTCACATGAAAAAATTTGTGGCACTTATCATCACTAACATCCTTACTGGATAAGAACATTTCATAATTACTTGCCATATTTTCTCACAACCCTTAACCTAGAAGTTATTTAGTAAAAGAGGATGATCAGAAATTGAATTCAATGCAAAAGATTTTGAGATGATTGAAAAGGTAACTAACATTTATAAAATGAAAAACAGGATACAATATATAAAGTACCTGTTCCATTAATTCTCTAACATCTTTACCCTCTTTGCTACTCCTTGCAGCACCTAGCTCAACTCCAGAGACCCTCTCAGCAAACTTCAAAGTACTTAGAGTCTCAGAGTAAGAACTCAAATCTGGATTAAGTTGCACAAACATGAGGGTCTTTGCCTGACCACCTATAGTGCAAGAGGGATATGAAAACACAGAGAAAAGAAAAAGAAACTCTAATCAATGAATTTGAGATGAAGAATATTGAGATCTGCAAATGTAATATCACTTTACTCGATACAAGAGAAGTAAGCACAAACAGCAATAAAAGTAAAAGTACCTAGAGAACTTTGAAGGACTTGAGTTAATTTGCTGTTTCTATATGGAACATGAGGGCTCTTTCGTGCTAGAGCAAAGATGACATCTCCAAGTGCAGATAAAGATTTGTTTATGTGTTGTGCCTCTTTAAGTCTTTCTCCAGTTACTTCAGAGCGATCAACTCTTTCACTTCCAGCAAGATCTACCAAATGAAGACTGCCACGCAAAGCAACACCAGAAGCCAAATCCGTTCCACGAACATGAACAGTGAGAACACTGGATACACAAGTCTAAATGAAAAACAGATACCAAGAGGGTCAACTGTTTAGGAGACAAGCATGGTTAAGACAATTGACAAAAAACCTGTGGGACCGGCTGCTTCTTTGATTCATAGCAGTGGAACTTACAGCCCTGTTCGTTAGTCCAAGATGCATCAAATCCAGTACATCTGTGGTTGATTTGACAGGATGCATGCTTGCATCAGGGACAGCTAGTCCATTGGGTTGTGCACTGGTCCATATCCCAAGCGTGTGGAAGTCAAGGAAACATAAGATTTGTTGAGTAGAAAAAAAAAGGAAGAAGAATATGACACCAGCTCACGTAGGAACTATATAATCCATAAATAGTATGGGGTGCATAACTCTCTACATGTCTAACATTTATTTATTGAACTAAGTTTTATCGCACTAAGTTTCAAGATTTTGATGCGATACACTCCATATCAAGCATATCGTATTGTATCCGCAAGCTACTGATACTGCAAATACAAGGGTTTGGGACTTTGATCATTTTCAGGGGGTAGGCAAGCCTAAGACCGACCCCCTAACCAATTTTGAGAAAAAACTAAAAAAAAAGATGTTTTTTGGTAATGAAACACCCAATATGCCTATTCATGTGTATTGGGTGTATCGATACTTTAAATTTTGTATTGGACCAAGGACTCAAATGAATCCTGTTTCGACTGCTGCTACAGTAACCCGAACCAGCAAGAGGAAGAAGAAGAAGAAGGAAAATGAAGGGACTGTCGAATCTGATTGGTTAACCCTATCAGTCGACCCCTTAATAGTAATTAGTCTCTAATTACTTGTACAAAGACTAAACTGCCCTTACTTAAGTGTGAGGCAGAGTGTCTCTAATAAAACTGCCACATAAGCATACAACTTAACAAAGACAAGTTGACTAAACTACCCTTATTCGAACCACTCTAACACTCCC